AGAGGTCGGCAGCCTCCTTTTGGTGCGGGTAGGACAAACCTGCACGAGACGGCTGGTGTGCCGAACAAACCTCGTCATAAACGGTTTCAATTCACCATACACAGCAGTCCATGCAAATTGGGTCCTATGACAGCATGATAAATGGACTGCTCAGTTTTGACTGCTGAAACGTGTTGGCATGAATCATATTTTGAAATATGTGCTCTTGGGCAGACTGTGCCAGCAGGCAGAAGCGGTATTTGTACGTTTCACCGACACCAGCCGCGGGCCAGAAGACCGAGTGGCGTGGCAGATTCGGACCGAACGTTGCCGTCCCCAGATCTTATGTTATAAATGCTTATTGCTATTACGCAAAGCATCACATCAGACAATAACCAACAGCTTTGTAGCACCCTCTAGAAACTGCAACATTTACATCGTTTTCATTTTCTTCAGTGGCGGGTAAGCGGCGCTGCTGCATCCCTTCCCTTTGCCTGGGAGGTGGTTCGGCGCCATTACAATAAAGTTGATCTGAATTCCGTGGTGGCACGGCGCACAAACACCATTCGGGCAGGGTCGGTGGTGGCAAACACCAATATCGTAGCTGATCGGCGCAGCGCCGGGACGGGCTCGGCGGCAACACACCACCCCCGGCCGGTCGGCGGCAACGAACCGGTAACCACCGCGGGACCGCTGGCGACAACAAACAGGTAACCACCGCGGGCCCGGCGAGCGACAACAAACTATAGTAACCACCGCGGACCCGGTCGGCGGCAACAAACCGGTAACCACCGCGGGCCGCCCGGCGAGGGGACAACAAACCAGGCTAGCAACCATCGCGTCGGCCGGCGGCAGCGGAACAGTAACGGCCGGCCGCCGGCGGGCTCAAACTAGTAACCATCCGGCCGGCGACTACAAACGAGTGACCATCGCGGGCCCACCGCGGTGGGCCCGCGATGCGGTGCACCGGTAACAAACCAGCCACCACCGCGGTGCAGGCGACCAACTAGTGACCATCGTGCGCCCGGCCGGCGGCCACACAGCGGCGCGGCGGGGATAAAACACTGAGTAATAACGCCGACTGATAACATACCAAAGAAGCCTACGACAAACTGTACGGTATTGCCAGGAGAAAATGAAATTGGTGGCGGAGGAAGCGTCCAGTTAAAGGCGAACAACGGAATGCATTACAAAATAAAATTTTAGTTTATGTCGCCTTAGCCAACAATACAACCTCCGTGCATAAATCACATGCGTCAGCGGTTTAACAAGTGCCACAACATATGCTTATGGACCCCCAAGGAGTCTGGAAATGAGTTCAATCAATGGAAAAATAAATAGAGCGACTGCCACACTTTTCGGCATACAATTCCAACCCTTCAACCTCGCACAACACACAAAAACATTAAAGGAATGAGCCATTGCCACCATAATTTAGACAGCGAAAGACAATTACCAATAATTTGGGGGTGCCGAATTACGCAGCACACAGTGGTCCGGGTGGTGTCAAATTTCTGTGTTTGTTCGGTGCCGTCGCGGCTCTGCGGAGTCCCCAGCCGACCCGGTGCCCCCACCCTGCCCACGTGTCACGGGCTGACGCCGATCGTTCCTTCGGACAAAACAGACCACACAATCCTATCGATCCTCTACACTCGGCAGGGACGTCTTTGGCGAGTTGGTACGGCCATCAGGTAAATTATCATCCATAGAGGAGCACCATTAGGCTCCCACGATAGAGCAAATAATGAGACGCGAGCGGGTCTACTAAAAACGACCTAGAAACTAACGACCGGTTCAGACTCTTCAATCCGTACTTTCTGACGTCATAGCCAGACATCGGGGGCCATCAAGCAGAACTGTGCGACACGAACGACGGTCAAAGATTGGTATTCGCATTTACTAATGACTCTAGGACAAGACCAATGATTTTCGTAAAGTCGTTGAATTCTACATGCCAGACTCGCGGCTTAGTTTTGTTTTAACGGATACAAGGATTCGCGGTCTGTCAGAGGACGGTCAGCTGACGGAGCTCACCTACAGCTCATAACAGAACCCACCCGTGGCCACAACAGAACCCATCCGTGGCCCGAAGTAGACCCCTACGCAGTCCCCACTGTTACCGCCATAAGGCCCCTGCCGCGGCGGCTACCTCCGCAGGCTCTGTCGCTCGGTCCCGACTCCCGACACGTACAGACCCGAGTGACCGCGGTCCAGACACGCACAGACCCGAGTGGCCGCGGTCCAGACACGCACAGACCCGAGTGACCGCGGTACAGACACGCACAGACCCGAGTGACCGCGGTCCAGACACGCACAGACCCGAGTGACCGCCCGGCTCCCAGGGACAATCTCGGTCAGGAATGTGTTATGGCAGTTGGTCGGACCATGCTGCGACAGTCGGCGGCACAGATGGACAGGCAGGTCGGTGACGGCCAGTCGGACGGAACTGAGGCACGTCCCATCGGCCACGGCCCTCTGAGAGGATCAATACCGAGTCTGCCACCGCCGGGCCGACACCTGCCTAATGGGAGAGGCGGGCACCAGCGAGCGGTCCCACAGACACCCGCCGACCCCGCCAACACCGCACGGCGGCCGCAGAAAAACAACCAGCGTCGGAATAATCTAACGGCAAATACAGCCATTGGTATGATTGGAGACAAAGCCCTGGGGCAGCTGAAGAACTTTTGCGACGGACGTAAATATGTACTGATGAAGCAAGATAATGATGATTGTCTTGACAAAAATATACCGCGGCTTTGGCGAGCATATACCATATGCCGGTATTGGGTTCCAGTCAATCTGGCCATAATAGCTTTTGCGATATGGAAATATTACTGACGATAATTCATTTTCTGCTGCAGGCAACCGTGCTATTAATCATGTCATGAAGATATAAAGGTGCAGGTCTGGGACCAAATCTCCATCAGTCGTCCCAAACCGTAGGTTTCTCCACCTCCCACGCAGCTCACGCAGCCGCTTAACCTCAATCTTCTGAGCGACTTAGGCACGCACGGTTTCCACATCAAAGTGTTGGTATTTCCCACTCGGTCCGCTTCAAAGCTCACGTGGGTGCGGTGAGCGCGGCAGCTCTCGCGGCGTCCACCCGGCTCCCGCAGGCGGCCCGGCACCAGTCCAGCGCGTGGCGGCGCGTCGCGTCCGGCCCGCGTGTGTTTTCATCTCGCTCCAGGCGGACCAGAGAGGCCGTGCATCAACCGACCGCCGCGGGCTCAATAAGGCGGCGGGGCGACGCAGCGCGATGGGCGCCCGGAGCTGGACAAGAGGCGCTACTCTACCTCCAACTGACAATGGAACGAACAGAGGCGCTACTCTACCTCCAGCTCACACTGGAACAGACAGTGGGCGGCCGGAGCTGGACAGAGTCGCCACTCTACCTCCAGCCCGCACTGGTACGGACGGCGAGCCTCCCGATGTCGACAGAGATTCACTGCTCTACCTTCAGACCACACACTGCCAGTGCAGTGTCCGACGAACCGTCTCAGACAGAGCTGCAGCTCTACCTCCCTCTCCCAGTAACAGTGGTCCGACCAATCGTCCACGACAGACTCGCCCTGCTCTACCTCCAGCCCGCACTGACAGTGCAGTGGTCCGACTAACTGTTCCGCACGGAGTCGCCGACGAGGGAAGTTCGGTTGGCGACAGTCGGCCCACTCTGTTTTAAAATCCGGCTGCTTAATCCTAATTTCTTTTCCGATTTCCAGCGGCGAGGGATTCCGTAATACCCATGTGAACCAGACCACCCGGCCCGGCTACAAATGCACTCCGCCTAACTACCGGGTAAAATCAGCAAAGAACAGAGCGCCACCAAAAAGACATGCAGCGGGAACAAAGCGAATATGAAGAATAATCGAGATGGTTGCTAGGTCATTACTTTACGGTGAAATAAAGTGTCCTTAGTGTAGGTAATGTCAACGCGCCCTTAACGTCATAGAATTGCTTCTTATATTACCAATTAGGGAACGTGGCGTTATAAATTGCCTCGAATACAGCCCACACTTCACATCATATCACATGCTGACCCCAATAAGAAGTCCCAATAAGAGGTCGAAAATGGCAGAACATGACGTCATTTGTGGCCAACCTATCATAGCCTCTGGAAAAATTTTTGGTCACAATGTGTAAAATTGATGCTCGGAGGGGTCCTGAAAGTTTGGTGGCGATATCTCCAGCCGTTTAGGAGATATCGACGGAAAAGGACAGGGGGGGGGGGGCGTTTCGCCCCCCCCCCCTACGGGGCGCGGGTTAAGTACTGATCACAATCCGTTTCTAATGTGCATTTACTTTACTCGTGTATCTGGGGTAAGAAAAAGATCGCTGCAAGGTAGTTCACAATGGTTAGAGTACGGCAGCCTCCGCAGCCTACATTCTTACTGACCAAGTGACCAATGCACATAATACATCAAACTTATATACTATAATCAGGCGGCTAACAAGCATGTAAACACGCCCTGCTTCGAATGATGAACATGTAACAAGACTGGCTCCTATACAGCTCGTTAATAATCGCCGTCCCGTCCACGGCCCCGTCACACGGCTCATCCAATCATTCACAGCCGTCAAATGGCGTCATTACGCCAGCTCCACTCCGAAAGCGTGACGCACGCACGGCGGCAGCAATTTGCTAGGGCCGCGCAGAGTGTGTGTGCGAGCGCCACTGACGACTGCCAATCCAGTTAGGGCGGATGACGGTCGATTTGCGTGTGGAGAGCCGCCGTCGGCCGCCGGCCGGCTGTCGGCCTGACCCGGAGAGCGGGCGGTGGGACCAGAGCGAGCCGCCGCCCGCCGCTCACCCACCCCCAGCTGCTGCCATATGGTGATATCCGCCGGAGCAGCGGCAGCCAGCCAGTGAATAGCACACTCGCCAGAGGCAGTATCTTGCCGCTGTATACCCCGAAGATAAACCAAGGATCAACCACGTACATTGTACAAGGATGTGATTGATTCCTGCGCACATACAGACTGGGGAAACCTCCCGTGCGGCCCCGGGCACTCTGGGCACTCACCGGTTGCAGAAGCGCGCCACGTCAGCCATTTGTTTATCATCCAGCTGCAGTAGTTTGTTTCGGTCCTCATCTTCCAGCTCCATGATGTCGAACACAGTCGTCACCTCCTGGTGACACAGAGGTGCCAGGTCAGGGTCCGGGGTGGTATCCTCGAGCGGGTCAAGGTCTGGGCTGACCTGGGTGAGGGGGGGGGGGTCAGGTCTCAGGATCTGGGGTGGTGACCTAGGACAGGGCCAGGGTCTGGGGTGGTGACCTAGGACAGGGCCAGGGTCTGAGGTGGTGACCTCGAGCGGGCCAGGGTCTGGGGTGGTGACCTCGAGCGGGTCAGGGTCTGGGTTCGTGACCCAGGACAGGGCCAGGGTCTGGGGTGGTGACCTGGTGTGCGGTCCGTTTGACTGCCGGTTTCTAATGCTCTGAAGTCTGAAAAGAAAAGTCAGTAGACCGGCGTACACGAGTTGTACACATCATCTATCAGGTTTTTTTCTTTCAGATATTTTTTTTTTACGTAGGTGAGCACACAAAAAAAAACTAACGACGCCACAGATATGCATAGATATTCCAAAGAGATTGCGATAGCTCAGCTTGCAGCATTTCCGGCCGGGTAACGCTCAATATGACAGCAGTTCGATCAGCTTGCGGTACGAGCGAACAGGTCACGGACAGTGACAATCACGCTAATGCAATTTACTTTGGAGAGTTGACATGTTTGCTCACCCGAACACCCATCAAAGGCTTAAGCGGAATCATTTGCACATATCCAATTTAACTGAGAGGCAATCTGATACCGACATTTTCCAGCAGTTAACTGGATGATCGAGTCCGCAATGTCAGGATCAATCGTCCGACATTCCGACTCTGAACTCACTTCAGCTACTTTATTTGGCTCCAGAGTTGACAGTAGTCTCCAGTACAAGGAAAAAATGATCATGAAATAATTCAATGACGATTTATTGGCGAAAAATCAACAAAACCGAAAATTATTTAAGTTAAATGGATATGATCTTTCATATTGAATTATCACCGCGGTGATAACTCAATATAACCCAATATAACAATATCACCGGTCACTTTCGATCATTTCTCTTTTTTCTTTCAGAATGAATAAATACTGTACATGAGGAGAGGGCCAATAAGAAAAAAAAGCTTAGTGTAAGTGAGCCACTGGTTGTTCGATCAGTAGCGCCGTTCCAGGGATCGGTCGGGACGGGCGACGGGTAATCAGTGGTACTGACCTTACTGCGATCAGGAGGCCGGGCGAGACTCGGTGGAAAGGTCAGACCTCACCCACCCAGCCAGCTATTTCAGCGAATCACCCTGGCATACGGGACTAAAAAACAGCCCTTGGGTACTGTCGAACAATGGCAGTCTTCCCTGCTGATATGTTCAATTCAATACATCGTTCAGTATACCAGTCTCAGTCTCGCATCTACGAACTTGCTCAACACAGATCACAGAGAAACGAAATACGAGCCCCAGCCGGATCTGCACACAAGCTCAGCCACCCGAGTACCTCCCCAGGCCAGTGGTGCATGCTGCTCTGAAAGGTCTACGAAGCTCCACCCTGCGGTGGCGGCTCACAGCCCACTCAGACCGTCCATACCTCTCCCGCCGTCCGGGCTCCGCGGCTTCCAGCATACCCTCATCGGCTCTGACCGGCTCGTGTCCAAGAACTCACATGTTGGGATTATTAGATCGATGGGAGCTAATACCACGTCGAAAAACAGCCCGTGAGACCACCTGACAACGGTGCTGTAGTGGGGAGTGCAGCTGATTACACCGTGCTCGGGGCATATGATCGCTCAGAACAACTGCTAGTCGGCACAGACGACTACCAATCAATGTCACCAAGACACTGATGTTACATTTTACACAATACAAAACCACGAACGACAAAGTCAAACGAATTTGCTATTATCAGGCACTGATAAAAGTGCCCCATCGCCTCATACCCCCGCGGCTAAGGTTGTATAAGGTCAAACCCAGACCTCCAGCTTTCCCCGTCATCCACTACGAGCCACCATCTCGCGTCACACATCAATCTCAGCCGACAAGACATCCTGATGCCCAGTGATGACAGCCAATAATTCATCAGTGCACCCCGGGGAGCCGGTTAGCCCCAAACACGACCCGGCCGTGGTGAGGTGGCGGCGAGCAGGGCACAGTGGGCGATCCGGCCGGTGTAGCCTCGCGAAACCTATCGGCATTCATAACATCCATGTTTTTGAAGCTAGGACCACAATATTTAGTAGCAACCTTCTTGAATATCCAATGAGCATATGTTTGAAATAAGGACTATCTCTTATAGGATTTATGCTCTGTGGCGAGCTTGCAATTTGCCTAATTGCTGCTCGAATAACGTATGAATACTTTTGATGGTAGGTCGAAATTTATGACGGTATGAGCTGGGTAGGACATTGAAATGGTGTGTACCTCCGTAGAAAATTGCATCCAAACCATTTTTTTATTCAAACGATTATGCCTTACCAATTTATACATATCATGAAACAGCGTAAATCTCGCCCGGCAAGGCCCCATTTCATAACGTGACCCAAGCAGCGGGTTTGGTTTTTGGTAAATGACTTCGCAAAAAATGGCCGCAGAACCACGATTTTGACATCGTCGTGTTCGCCTTGCTCAGGCGCGTCGAATGGTATACTTTGTTCAGGTGAGGCCACCGTAAGGTCAACCTGACCTTGACCTCGAGTCAAGGTCAGGTCAGAGGTCTTCAAATCACGAAGTTGGTCGAAGGAGGTCATATCGCATATCATTCGATTCGGCAGGTCTTCCGGAGTCCATTGGTGACCTTGTCGACTCTCTAGCTCAACTTGATCGAGAGTTATTGACGAAAAACTCGTATGACCCTAGTGACGTCATAAATGACGTCATGCAAGGTCAACAATGCAAAAATGCAGCATCAGATCTTGCAAGGAGTGCATGAAGTAACGATTCCATGTACTTGAGACAATTGAATATCATTCCTGGCGCCAAAATAAAAGTTTTCATATTTCCCCATTGACTTATAGGTGAGGTCACGTGACCAACCTGACTTTATGTGACATTTAGGAAAAATCTGAGATATAAAAGTTGTAAGACCTCTGAAGGACAATAAGTCCTGCAAGTCTCACCTCCCTGTGAAATTTACTCTGGCACTGAGAGCGTTGCAAGGTTGCGACATCTGAGGATCGTGCAGAGGTTCATGTATGACGTCATAGGTCAGTGACCTGACCTGACTTGAAAGTGCGGTTGGTGTCACAAGATCCAGCGTGCATCAAAGGTCAGGTATGCCAGGTTGCAGCTCTCTATTGCCTGGGTGTTTTGAGCTATCGCGGAAACACCCTTTGGGGCATTTACCACTTGTGCTCAAGTGCACCAAGCCACGGCCAACACTTAGAAGAAAAAAGTGTCTGGATGCCAGGGCTGCAAGTGGCTGCAAATTTTCACTGGCTCCCCTAATAGATAGTGTCTTAGTGCATGCGATACAGCATTATTTTCAGTTCATCCTCGTAAAACTTTTTTTTGCTGGGCTTGGTTAATTCAGTGAACGTAATGTTTAGTGGTAGAAAAAAAATAAAATGTTAACCTAATTATAAGACATTTTGAACTGATTTTGTCTACTTGCTTTCTATGGCGGAATCGTCTAAACATCTAAATTTCACTTTTCATGCAAAATGGATGCTCAACACCTAGCAATTTCATCGTTCCGCAAAATATTCAAAGAGCGTAAAAATCGGCTGTGATTATCCCCCTTATAAAGTGTTACGGAACGCTGTCTTTAACGATACTTTTGTCTACGAAAAAATGTCTCCTGAGCCATGCAAATGCACTAATCGTAATCTTTGATGAATTTTCTGTCCACTAGTATGCGTTGTTTTCCAATATTCAGAAAAAAGTGTCTTTGAGGTTTCGCGAGGCTAGACCGGCCCGATCGCCTACCGTGCAGGGGAGGGAAGATGAGCGGGGGAGGGAGAGGGAGAAGGCGGAGAGGGAGAGAGGGACCGGCGATAATGTCACAGATGTCCAGCGGCCCTCATCCGGCTGCAATATCTACGCAAATACACACGTGCGTACGGCTGCATATGGAACAGCCCCAGATACATATTTGGCGGCGGCTCTGCCAAAGAACCGAGCCACGATCCACATACACTCCATAGCCAGAGTAAGTAGTGTTTGATCCGTACATCAATTATCCTTATGGAGGGAAATTGTAGCCAATTATCGGTCAGATAATTGACGTGCATTTGTACTTCCAGAACAACAATGCCGATTGAAAGGTCTAGTAATTTCGCAAACGCTGCAAAGCCATGATACAATTATCCATATTGTCATATAGATGTTACGGTAACGCTGCGACATAATGAAACATAATTGTTTTGTTATGAAACACATAATCGTCCGTGAGTTTTCTTCATAGCCATAAGCAAAGCTTGCCGAACACACAGAATTGTTATGCACTATGATGTGGAGATTATGGGCATAGATCACCTTAATTACAGCGATAGGCAGGACACTTCTAGGAAGAAAGCAATCAACGACAATGGGGTTCGATCTGGTGGTCTCTGCGGTTAATAACGTGCACGGGCGTGTTGGGCCGGTCAGTGGCGAGGTCAGTGGCGACCTTCGCTGTAAATGTGACACACAGAGCTTACGGGCCCAGTCGAAGTTGTAGCCACCAAAACTGGGAATCGATGTTAATGTCTTCTGTTGATACGTGCCCGCCCATGTGCCATCGGAGCCAAGGTCGCTAACTAATGATCATCATTAGTCACGGCCCACGTCTGAGCAATATGCCTGAAATTTCATTGTCTGGGTGTTTGGAATCCATTACTTCAAAGAAACCATCACCCTTGTCAGATTGTGAGCCCATCACATTACTAGAGACATTTAATTCTAAATTGATGCTTTCATCTATCAACATATCGAAATTGGCACAAATACTGACACATCTTTCCTGGAGCAATGATGGCATGATTTTAAACCGAAGGGGGTGTAAGCAGCCTATCACCAGAAGTCAGATGTCAGATATCTGACCAGATGTCAAGCCACCAGTTACTTTCCGGAAGTTTATTGGTGACTTAATTCTATCCTGTCACTGCACACCATGTGGTGAATAATTTGATATCATTCGAAGCTTACGCTGCAGCGCCACAAAACCGTCATCAGATGAATCCAATTAGTCTGATCACGCACGGTCGAACCTAGTTAGCGCGTACGCCGGAAACTGTTCCATTCAGACTCCTATCGTATCCCGGCAACCGTATCATACAGACACGCCGCCTGCGACAGCTTGTTTGGGCTCACACCTGGCCGCCCGCCGCCTGCAGTCGGCGGTACGGCTGCCGATCGCATCCAGACACACGTCTGTCACGTCCCTGCGATAGGCGCGCGGGAGGCGCCTGTCCGCCCGTCACTCGCCGCCACCAATCACAGCCCGCTTGGCGGCCATTCCGCCGCCAGCGCGGCACCATTCCGTACTTAGTGTGACGGCCGGCCGCGGACATGGGATGACGACACTGGCTGCCATATTGTGACGGAAGCGGGCACCGAGCGGGTCCACGACCTCATGCGTCGGAGGTGAGAGACCCACGGGCAAGACCCACACATAAACCCAGTGATCGATGTCGTCCATAGCCCACCCCCAGTCCGTCAACACACCCCAGATTCATATGCATACATACACAAGTCGGTTGGCGAGGGCCAGCATGCTTAACCGCCACCCGGGAAACTCATTAAAAAAGCCGCAGCTGAAGCGTACACAAGCAGCGGCTGGCGTGCAAAACAGGCTGAAGCGGTGGGGCGCTTTTCGTCGAGCTCGCTCGGTATTTATGTTTCGTAGGATTTGATGGTATTTGTTCTGGATTAACGGGCCAGCGGGGGCTCAGTCGGCGGAGCCAGCTTTGATTAATGAACGTTCTGGGCTCGGCGGAGCACAGCAACGGAAAACGAGCGCCAACGGAAAATAATGCATATGGAGAACGTGCTATGGAGAACGAGAACATGAAACATTTGTTAAATTTCGAACACCACTGGGCAAACTGTGAAGCCAGTGAACCTAAAAAGAATTTCAGCGAGCCAGCAGCTCCTCACGGCGATGCAAGCAGCAGTCAGTGTATGCTGATCAGATAAATGTTGCACTGCGTTGTGGCACAGCATAGTGTAGTAACCGCGCCTCTGCGCCACCCTAATCACTGTCTGGAGCCCGCGGGTGTCCCTCCCAGCCCTGCACACATTACAAAGACCACCCCGAGCCTCCTCAGGGGCGTGGCCGGTGGCTCACCTTCTCCTCGCAGCGTTTGATGATCTCCGGGGTAAAGTGCGGCAGCTGCTTCAAGTAGCTGTCCTTGGACCACATCGCCTGGGTGCACATCTGCGGCGACATGGGTAATACAGGTAAATCCACTAGCAGGACACAAATGAAACGCAAAATGTCTCAAGCGTCTCTTCTTTATTAATCATCGACAGGGAAGAACAAAACGGATCAGTACCACCTATCAAAAGCTCGGCTTAAAAACTACCACACAAACATCCACCACACTGCGTACCTCCCTCCCTCCCTCTTTCCCTTCCTTTTCTAACTCTCCCTCCCTCTCCTCTCTCTCTCTCTCTCTCTCTCTCTCTCTATCTCTCTCTCTCTCTCTCTC